CGATTCAAAATTGGGAGAAACTATGAATTCATAGAAATAAATATTTTAAAAAATGATTAAAATAGAGAAAAAGAACAAAAAGTTGTTTGGTCATTTTAATGCACACATGAGCTTCTTGTCTGACAAAATTGGTCTGTTGCATGTGCCACGACCAAGCAGTAGCTTATGACAATGTCTTACAAAAACAATTAGCAAAGGGACCAATTTAGTCAAAGAAACTGCGCATGTACCCTGAGCCTCTCTTATTTTGTTTGGTTGGAAAAAGAGAGAAATTAAAGTACTAACAGTACTCCAAGTACAAGTTCTGATATCCATTTTCTTCAAGTAATTTATTTATTCGAAGTGAATTTATATACATGTATCTTATATGATATAAATCCATTTCACATATGCCTTCAAACAATCTGTGACCGGTCAAGATAGCCTAGTGGTAGGGCGTTCGCTTCGTGATCGGGAGGCCCGGATTTGATCCTCGTTCGCCGCCACGCGTCAGAACTAAGACGTTAACATAGGTAGTGACTGTTCCTTCGCCAAGCACCCTGCACTAGAAGTGAAAGTCTTTGGTCTTTCGGATGAGACCTTAAAATCGAGGTCCCGTGTCAATGTAGGCGTTGGCACGAAAAAGAACACTCATTGCTAAATGGGCCCGAGTGCCGAGTATAGGTCTAAATTTGAAGCCGTTCACCGGTCTACAGTAACATCTCTATATGCGTGAAAAATTATCGAATGGGACGTATACAAAATACAATCAAATCAATCAAGAATTCTGTGTAAACAGTTTACTGTTCAATAGAAATCGTTCTTGAAAAAAAGTGCGTGTACTTCTGAAATTGTTATATGGTCTATCTAAATGATTATCTTTCCTTTAATTTTCCAGAATGTCCTATTGTATACTAAAGATTCTTAAATATACACGAGGAATTCATTGTCGTGTAATTTCGCGAGAAGTGTCACTCGCGAAATAAATTTTCTCGCTTTTTATATGGTGCTGAATTCTATATTCAATTTTTTGATCAACCATCCACTCGCGAATTATTGTTCGACGTCAAAGAAGCATTTCGCTTTATTAAGTACTCGCAAAAAATAAGAAATCTACAGTATTATGCACAAAAACCATTTTTATGCTTTGTTTTCATATTTAATTGACACTCATATATTTTAACGAATAAACTTTAAAAATACCTACATGTATGCAGCACAATGGTTCTATATCTATTCCAATACAGTACATTTGTGTCTTGATTATTATTACATGTACATCTGCATATGATTAGAATATTTGAAAAAGCTTTATGTGGTAATGGTTAAATAAGAAGCTTTAAAATGAAAAAAAGTGTCCAAAATGTGCTTTTTTGGTTAAAATAAGATTTTAGTGCTTTGTATCTAGTGGACGTAGACAGTTAGGCTAAATGAAGGTGTGATCCTCATACAGACACAGAAACTAGTATTTTTATAAAAGCAGTCAGTAAATAAACCTTCTGGGCTTTTAATATTTATCAATTTCCCAAACATAGAAATTTCCTCTATATTTTCCTTGGAAAATCACAAAATAGAAAAAATAGCACTTTATTCTAAAAAATATTATTTAAATAAGCAGAAAAACTTGGAAATCATGTATAAATATGACAAGCAATTGATCCGTAGAGAGAGAGAGAGAGAGAGAGAGAGAGAGAGAGAGAGAGAGAGAGATTTTAACAGGAAGACGATTTCAAGTGCTCTTTAATCATCCCTTTATCCTTGATTTGAAGTGTATTTTAACTGACACTACACTTTTCTCTTATATAAACGTGATCATGAAACATACTTTAGGGAAATACATGAACACATATTTCCTACCGTGCATGCAAGTTCTTTTTTTTAATTTCCGATACTTACAATCAATGTCAAGGATACAGCATTGTACCCAATATCGACTGTTATTACCAATCGTCATAAGTTGAGTATGAGCTTTGTGCTCCTTATCTCGTAGGAAAATCAAATGGATTTTGGCACTAGTGTATGCGAAACATATGTTTTCAATCTGTTAATTTTGCAAAATGCATTCAGATGTATTTGCTGAAATTGATTAAATAACATACTGTAGTTAAGTAGGATTGCATAACATATTTTATTGATAGACAGGCGATCATTCTTTGCAAAAGGATCTAAATGTTAAGTAATTTGCAAACATTCAGCAATTATAATGCAATTTAAGGAATGTTCTCATAAACGGAAAATCACATCTAAAATTCATACATGTACCTGGTCGGGATTAGTTGTATTACATGTATATGTTTTTACTTTAACTCGTGCTTACCCTATTTACATGTGTGAAGATTGCTTTGTATAAGGTACGGCAGAACAATCCTATTTATTTCGATTGTATATTTAACATTGTTTATTTTTTTCATAAAAATAAACATCATTACAAATGACTTGAACAGATCTGATCAATTTTGATATAATAACACAAATAGAGCGATTTAACTGACAGTCCTTTTCTTAATTTTTTTTTGTTTGGGGGGGGGGGGGGGGGTTAAAACCATACACTGTTCAATAATTTCACAAGCTTATTTTTTACATGATAGCATTATTTACTCCAATTCTTTACGAATATATGCTTCATCAGTTTAATAACAGGAATAGCTTTTATGCATATTTCCAATGACTGCCATGATTTAATATATGTAAATATTTATTTAACATCCCTATGGGTTTTAAAATATTCAGACCGTGTCATATTCAAAAACCTAAGTTTTTTTGAATCATTATTCATTTTTATTAGAATTATTGTTAGAATTACCAATGTAGTATGTAAAATGAGTGTAAATATGAAATGTGAAGATAACGACAAGTAATCATTGTCTTAAAATTCAATACAAATTTCGAGCACAGCAAACATCATGGGTGGAATCAGGTACCATTGAGGAGTAAATATCCTTTCTCGATTGGACACACCCGCGGTGAGCTCTTTGTCTTTATTGGATAAATGGAGTAATCCGTAAACAATCTAGTGAGTATAATATGGCCTTCCCGTTTGTATTTATACGTCAATATACATTTTACAGGATATGATTACAAATTTTATCATTGTATCGACCATAGTATTTGCTAAATGTTGAGTTCAAACTAGATTGTTGATTCCTTTGTAATATTTATCTATTTGTCAGTATCCGGCTCCGTTTCAAAAATGATCTTACGTAGAACATGTTATTTCATAAATCGTAATCACCATAAACAAAAGATAAAGGTATATTACTACATAGAAAGGAAAGTTGACAATAGAAAAGTCGACGTCATGTTTACATTGTCCGAAGGTGCTTATTTGGTTTCTTTATCAATGTCCAATTTACCGCCACTAGCTCATTGGGTTGTTCGGAAGATTATGAAAGGCCATCCAGCAACAAACCTAAGTCGATAAAAAAAACAACTCTTCCTTCGCCAAGCCGTCGACATCGGCACTTCGAAGTGAAATTTTAGGTGTGGGTGTATTGAATGAGATCCCACATTGCTCAATGGCCCTGAGTACCGAGTAAAGGTCTAAATTTAAAGCCCTTCACCGGCATACGGCGACCTCTCATCTGAATGAAATAATCATGCAAAGGATGTACAATCTAGCAATGTTCATTTTGAAAGATTTCATAAACACTTCAGGTCAATTTAAAATAAATCAGTGAAATCCGTGGATGATCGAACTCATTTGCTTATTCAAGTCATCTAAGTCTAAGAATTATTTTAGCAAAAGGTACTTTGAACAGGCCTATTTTATGTATGAATAAACAGGGTTCAAAGAGAAAGAGGGATAAAGATGTCAAATAAATAATCGATTAGTTTTAGTTTGGTATTGTACATGTAATGTTGTTTATAGACAAAAATTCCTAAAAACACCAAGGAAACAGTTTTCCCTTCCCACGAAATTAAGCTGTATTTCTGTATAAGGCAACAGGGAAGAATTTTGTATTTCATAGAAAAAAATCTTTAAAGTCTATTTTATAAATATTTGAAGATATCTTAAATTATCTATATACACTGAGAAATAAAATAAAAAAGAAATATATTACAATGTCGAGCGATATTCACAAGCAAAAAACAAATCCATTAAAAAAAAAACATTTTCTTATTGCTATTCGCACGTTCTCTAGCTCCATAAACTAGTCATCACAAAATCTTATGCTCTTTTCAAAGCGGGAAGATTTCTAAAAAAATATTCAAAAAGTCATGTCATTAATATTAAGAATGAAAATATCTCAGTTACCAATTTATATTCTTTTGAATAAATTTTAAATATTTGAACATCGCAGATCTTTCATGGTTGGATTTTAAGAAAAATACTTCATTACGTCATATATAGATCTTATCACGAATAATTTAATGTTGCATCAAATTATACAATTTTTTAATTAATTTGCTAAACTTTGGACAAATCATAAGCGGCAAAACAAAACAAGCTTATTATAAAAATTTAATTTACCAATCACAACATCATTTCGTCATGTACGTAATCTAATTAGCCCAATCTTGACAAAGCGGAATTTAAATCAATAACCCTTTCAGGACGAGACTGCTTTGTTCACAAAAAAAAAAAAAAACTAAAAAAAAAAAAAACTGTAACAGTTGTGAAAAATGGTACTTTTGGCTGTTCATCAACGTTATCTTTTTTGTCTTCTAAATTTTCATCCAAAAGTTTTTTGTGTGGGAACTGAGCGAGTTTCATATACATGTAATTGTGAAACAATCTAGACCAGTGCTGGCAGTAAAAAATGACTACAATTTTATATAATACCCATTACAAAATTAAGAAACTTCAAAGAATTGACTTTTCCTCACTCGATATCATTTGTCTAAAAGTATTAATCTTGTATTCAAGTTAAAAGATAAAAGAACGGATTGGCGCTTAAATTAATCAAAATTATGTAGAAGAAAAAAAGAAAATCTCGAAGAAATTGTTTTATTTAATTATAGTGCACTTTTTTTTCATATGAAAAAGGAAAACATCATATCAATAAATAGATAACAAATAATTTAGATAACAACCCGTAGAATCCATGTAATGCCCTATACAACATATCACAACCGTACCACGTCATCAAATTTTGACAAGTCCAACATAATCGCTATCATGATATCGATACACCTGGAGTCTGTTGAAAACTTCCACGTACAAAATAGTTCCTTTGGACAAGTAGAACGTTTCTTCTACTTCCACTGGATTCAGATATTGTGTATTGAAAGAAAGCCCCCTTGGACATTTCCAGTCTTTCCTTAACAAATACGTGGGACTTCGATCTGGATGTTCTGCCACTACTCGAATGAAGTATCCCTTCGAAGGAATACAAGTCGTCTTATTCGCAGTCATTGTTATTCCAGCAAATATTTTGTATGCACCGAATTCCTTGACTTTTAAAGTTGTAAAATATGGACTCGCTTTAGGATCTTTCAATGGCATCCTTCCTAAGTCAGCTAAAACAGAAAAAAATCTGAATGAAGGCCCCTTTAATTCAAAACTTAGGCAGTCACTTTTATATCTCATCAGTTCATGCTTTGAATATGATCAATTTGTAAACCAAGACAGGCTACTGATAGATAAGTTGATGTTACAGTGATTTGAACAACTTCTTTTAATGTCAGCATTTCGTAAATTCTATTGTCGTTATAATGACTTTGTTAGCAAATATAAATGTAACCTATCATTGGGTCGTATTTCGTAGCAATTGATAAGCTTTTGTTTAGATACTTAATTTGACTACGGAATGTTCCGTCTTCTTGATTAATTTATAGGGCTCACGACGGGTGTGTCCAGTCGACAGGGGTTGCTTACTACTCCTAGGCACCTAATTCCACCTCTGGAATTTTTGGGGGGTTTTGTTTTATGCCTTGATCACAGATTTGTATTGTTTGTAATTTTTTGGAGTTCGTTATCTTCACCTTTTTTCATTGAAAAATCTTTTCTTCTAATTTGAAATTAATTACCTCCAATATGATCTTTGTGTACATAGTAAAATTGAGATAGAGCTGCTGCTTTATTTGGAGTTCCTCTAAGATTCGCTTTCGTCATTTTGTGAACATCTCTAATCTGAAAATAAAATTGATTATTTGATATCACTGTCTATCATCATAGTGGATTAAATTATTTTACACATATTTAAACTTCCTTTAACGTATATGTTGACCTACCTCTTTTATCAGTCTTTTCTTTGAATCTTCTAGCTTTTTGCAACAAAGGTCAGTCTTCCCAGCACGTACTTTGATTAATATTTCTCTCCATAGTAACTCTGAATGGAGGCCCTGACAAGGCATACATACAGCAGAAGATGTTAGTATCTCACATGGATTTCCTTGGGATTTCAATTTCAGCGCACTCGTAGGACTCGGTGAATAACCATCCGATATGTGTTCATTTGAATTCAAGTCCTTTTCGTTATTGCCAAAATATGACAATATGCACCAAACAATACCAGCAGCAAGTATTACATTCAACAACACTGAAAGAGTAGTTACAGTCGTCCAGCAGGGAGAACGTTTCTTTCTAACTCTAGTAGGTTCTTGAACCATAGCCATATGATTTTCCAACCGTCCAATATCATTACCAGCAGTCACTGTGTAGATGGGTTGTGAAGGGAATCGTGTATCAAATGGATAATATGGAGGAGTCGTATAGTTTCCTGATGCCATTTTGTTTTCTATGATATGCTGAATATGCCGATTCGTTCAATTATACTGACTCGATAGAGTGTGTGTGTTTATATAATGACACCGCGAAATACCTACGTATTTTTTTCCGTCTTTTCCATTTGCAGAATTTAGAAAACCCACGAATTTCCTCTACTCTAATAATAACTTCCACGTATACTTTTCAGTGTAGATACTGTTACTATAATCATTTCATTGACGTTTCTTAAGTGTTTAGTTCCGACGAGTTTTTATTTTTCCTGTTTGATGGTATATTTTTAGGACCTAGATCCTTCCATCCATTGAGGAAAATCCATTCAATTTTTTAAATACTTCAATGTAGCGAAAAAGTACTATTTTAAATTAAATAATCAAGATGTCCAATTCAAAGTTTTACTTTTCTATTATATCTTTCCCAGAAAGATATTTGGGTTTAAGCCTTCCATTCAAATTTCTTCATTTAGATTCACAAAGTCAAAGTTACTGTAAGGTTCACCATGTTTTGGATGAAAATGTAAAATATGTCTGCTTATCTTCTTTCAAACTAATGTATTCATAAAAAAGAAAAGGCAATTCAGATCCACAAATCATATAAGGAAAAGAAATCTAAGATATATCCATGATCATGTTTGGGAAAAATGTAAAATATAACTGCTTATTTTCTTCTTTCAAACTAATGTATTTATAATAAACTCATAACTACTAAAGATTTTTTTAATAGAGTTTTGTTACTTTAAAAAAAATCAGACATTTAACATTTTAAAAGAAATTGAAAAAGTGAACATTATAAACAAAATAATAGATTCATAGATTTAGATTAACTGTTGTTGAAGCTTACAGCATTGTCCAAATGTAACAAGGTCCGAGTTAATCTGACAATATCGGAAGTAAACAGTGACACAGTCTTATACAAGTAAAATGGATGTAAAGCATCAAATCGATCGCAAACAAAATTTAGCATTTCAAAAAGTTATTTTACAATTGAGCATAAGGAAAGCACAAGATATTCTATGGTGAAAGAGTGATAATAAATAAAATAAAATGAAGATAAATAATAAATAAGTTAATAAAATTTTAGTGCATTTGTTCATCAAATTGATTCATTTGTGTAATAAATTCAGAAAATGAAAATGTAGGCCCATTTCTACTCAGATCTGAAGATGAACCACGTGCTGATACCTTGAATCTTTGTCACGTGATGATGCCGATGATTTCTACACAGTAAGCTAAGCTGCACGACGCGGTGCAAAAATTATTCTTGTGGCACTCTTACCTGTAGCAAATTCAAAACAATTTTTAACATATGAATAACTTTTCAATCTTTATTCATCATGTACTTTTAACACTTAATCACTGGCGGATTTAGAGGCCCCCCTTTTGTGTCCAATAATATACATAGGATTTAAAGAATCATTTTTTGGATATGGCCCTACCCTGACCCAAAACTGGTCTCCCCTATTTCAAGACTCCTGGATCCGCTACTGTTAATTATTATTCGGAATATCATAACGATTTGCGTTCGTATCTTATACACTCCCATTTTGGGGAGCAACTATTGTAAACTCTTTTTGAAAAATGAAATGAAATGAAAATGAAATTGAAAAATAATATCAACAATTAAGACTTAGTTTAAAGCAAGTTTTTGAAATTATTTTATACGTGTTATCATTAAAGAATTATTACTGAACTATAAAGAAATAACGGCTCATTGCCTATGTGCACTTTCTAACACAACCACATATAGATCGGCCGCTGCTACTGCTGCGGCCGATAACACATCCGAGTAATTTGTATACATGCAATAATTTTCAAAAGTTTATAATTTCAAAATGCTTTACGTTATCTTTAATTTGTTGAGCAAGATCTTCAAGTTACTTTCTTCTGTTTGATTTAGCGTGTGTGTCTTTTGACCAAAGGAATTTTAGCACTCATTTCTTTAGCGTAGATTCATTTGAGATGATAAGCCCAAGGCTTCTATTTCACAATATTAATAATTAATAAACTAATAGACGGGGTCATGTGACTCCCTCTAAAAATATCCGCGGATATTAAGGCATTCGTCATTAAGTGAGACAATAAACAGAAATATGATTCGGAATTTCCTAAACCCTCAAAAGTCAAATGAATAATGAAATGTGAAAATTTTAGAAATAATTATTTATGCATTCTATAACATAATTCAACAATCTACTCAGATTCGTAACTTGAAAGACATTTCAGTCTGAAATGGTCAATCTGCAACTTCATTTGAAATTCGATCGATTTCGGTATACCGATCCCGATGTATTTTATAAATCATTTTATAAATATTTAAAGTTCACTTTTTGTGGTAACTATATATATAACAGTTTTAAAGTGCAGCGTCGTAAGCTTATGAACAATTATATAAATATATATGTAAGTCAAAGCCCTACGTCTCAAATTCAGTAAACAAAAAAATTAAAAATTTCTGAAAAAAGGTCAAAAATCAAGTGGAATGTAACACTGGTATTTTTTTATTATGTCCTGTGACATGTCTTATGTCAAATATGCTAAATAGCTCAGACTTCCCTCTCAAATGATCAAAATATATATGCTATTTATCAATATAAGAAACTATTTTGAAAGGTAGGTCAAAGGTCAAGTTAAAAGGTCACGACAGAGTAAGTTTTTTTTAAAAAGCCAATCAATATACAGTGTATATCCAAATTATCAAATCAACACCTCTTACAGTTCTCAAGATAAATGGTGTGACAGACAGACAGACAATAAGACAGAAACATATAAGCCGGGTAAAGTGATCCCTGACTGTTGATCTGCTCTGCAGGCGATACAAAAATACCGATTTCAGATTCACAAACTATAAAATGAAAAGAAATCTAAAATCTATCATGTTTTGGATTAATTATTATTAATTATGATTAGTCATGCACTCAATGGCAATTGAAAATTGTTAATTAATGAAAGACAGAAGTGAAAGCCACAGGTCTTTCGATGAGAGCTTAAAAACTTAGGTCCCTGTCACGGTAGGCGTTGGCACGATAAAGAACCTGCATTGCTCAATTGCCCTGAGTGCCGAGTATAGGTCTAAATTTGAAGCCCTTTTCTAGTATATGGTGATATCTCATTTATGAGTGAAATATTCTCGAAGGGGACGTAAAAACAATATACAATCAATCAATGACCAACGACACGAAGAATAGAAATTGTCAAATTTTCGGGACGCCCTGTTCCTTCCTCGGGACAAAGAAGTCATGAAAAGAAATTTAAAAAAAAAAGCTAGCATTACAACAAAACTATAAAACCCTATATACCTACCATTTTGCTATGTTTTATTTAAATGTTAGAATCCAAGTGATATGAAATAATTCTGAACCTTTACGAGATACGTCAAGTCAGTTTACATGACGGCATCAGACCGACCGGACGTATTTTACTTTTTTAAATAAAATATCCAAGCAAAAGAAAATATTGCAACAGTAATTTCCCACGAAATGGCAATTTAATATTCATCAGTTCCTGTATTTTATCATGTATTTAAATGTATATCCACCTTTTTAAAACAAATTAAAACAAGTTATGTTTTATTAAGGTGTTTAGAAAATACATGCATATGCAATTTGTCCTGCTATCAATGATATGTATTTAAACAGTACCATTCACTTACCCCTAACGACTGTATGGAAATATTTTGATTTCATGACATTTGAAAGTTTTATCCCGATAGTTGAAAAGTTTTTATTTTTTATTTCTATATTTGTATCCGAGAAGTTTCTTCTTTTTTTTGACAAGAAAAAAATCATTATCTAACTTCTCCTGTTGTTGGATTATTAGTCTTTAGATATTTGCTTTGAAAGAATAGTAAAAAGAAAAATGTAAAAATGATGAAATAATTATTTTTATTTTCAACTTCACTTATTTCTAATTTTACAGTTTAAATGTTGCTTTTTCTCACGTTTCAGCAATGTTCTTGTCTATTATCACTTTCTTCTCAACATTTACAAAGAAAGAGGGTTTTTACAGTCATTTGTTATTTATTCGTCCTGCTTTGTATAGAAATCGGTTGATCAAGTTCAAAAATACTACCAAGAGATTACGAGGAATGTTAAACCATTATTGGTAGCGAAGAGTGTTGTAATTTTCAGTGAGTCATATTTCCTACTTAGCATCAACTCCTCTCATCCAATTGGCTTAACACTTAAAAGGACCAACAAGGAAATGTAAATTTTGTTTTGTCAATGTTAATAGCAAAGGTTGATATTTCCTACTTTAATTTGGAGGACTACTCATATGATATTGAGATGACCAATATCAAGTCAAGTTAATTTCTTTGCTGCATATTTTGATTGTAAATTATAAACTCCAGTTTTCTACTGTGTTCAGTCTAAGTTTTGCTCAAATACAAATTCTTCATTTTGAAATTTCATTTATTCACTTCTATACAACGCAAATTAAGAAGAAGGAAAGGAACAAGAATTTTGAAAAGATTGCTTTTAATAAGTTTTATCGAAATTGGATCAAAACACATGCATGCTTCAAATATAAATTTTTAAAGATAAAGAGAAGAAAATAGAGAATTTACAAAATTATTTATATTTTCTCCTTCCGGTATTTGAGTTGTTAGAAATAGGCGAGAATTGAGTCCTCTGATACATACATCTATGTTACAATTTTTCCATGCAGAACATTCCATATTATATCTAATTTTCAATATCTATTTTAAAAAAGAACCTAGCTTTTCTAAAGTATCGACTATAGTTTATTATTAAACTGCTATCTCTTCTGTAACAGGGGATTTCCTAATTACATGTAACTATGCTTCCTTTTTAAGATTCCCTTTTCAACACAAATCAGAATAGCGCGTTATGTCAATGGTCAGGAAAAAATAACTTCCAGGATGTATTTTTTGCTGAAAAAATCCTTTTTTTCACAGTCAGTTAATGTTTTTTAAGACAAGTGAAAACATTACTATTTTAATAGATAGTATAGTAGAAATTGTGTGAAATGGTAATTTTTACTCTGTATAAATAATACAGATAAAACAATAAAAG